GGAACGATGACAAACGGTGCGAGCTTGGTTGTTGCATAGAGTGTCACCGTAACTAATAAGCACAAATCAAACTTGGTTTAGTAATGTTTACATGCGGCCATTTCTACCATTGGCAAATTGTAAGTATTCCAATGATGACGTGTTTTACGTATAAAACGCAAAATTGAAACGAAATATTAATATCGTTCTTTTTGTAAGCCGTATGGAGCAAGATTCACGTTCGCTATGTGTTTTTGAATTAAAAAAAAACTTTTTCAGACTTCTCTAATGTATTTTGAAGGTTAAAGTCCACTTCAATATTATAACATTTTCTTAACAATAACTTTAGAAAACGTATAGATATCGATATTTACAGCTTTATAATATGTTTTCGTCGCGGTATACTCTTCTTGCGTACATGGGAGCTACTGGGCTCGGGAAAGCCAGAATCGTTAGCTTAGTCATTCCCTACCCAGTTTCTAAACCTTACCACAAGGTAAACTAGAGATAAACATGATCTCTAGAAAACGGCAAGAGCTCGAATCGACATCTCCAAATAGTGATAGATGACAGAACACCAAATAGTGATAGGTGACAGAACTCTGACCAACATGCCATAGCTTTTTTAAATCATTACTAAATGCAGCACCAAATTATTAATCGTGATAAAGTTTAAAAATTAGTTAAAGGTTAATATGAAGTTTCATACGTCATTTATGATTGCCTGTATCATTCATGTTATGTGTGTTGTGATTAAATGTCACTCGCATGGAGCTTACAGTTTCAAACGTATTAGTTATGAAATACCAACATTTTCATTCATTTTACAACAATTAAAAGATGTTTCTGCATAAATTAAGACATGCAATGTAACAAACGATGAAGCTATTGTGAAGATATTCGTCTGCACGTATATTGCATTGAAGATGCAAAAATGATGCACCGTCTCGATCAATTGCTTCAAAGGCGGAAACTCGCAAGAATGACTACACTGACTAGAACACAACAAATCGAATGACGTAAGGCACTTGTAGAGTTATAATAATATGATTGGCACCAGGCTCAACCCTCTACACATGTGTAGGTATAGGAATCCATAAACATTTATTTTCATGACTATATCAATATTAAGACAAATTACTGTTTATCATTTTTAGCAACTTGTATAATCTCGACTTAAATATCATATATTGGTAATGTTAAAATTAATCTTAGTGATTCACAAGACTCTTGAATTATTTAGGAAAGTTATCTTGACTTGCTACATCATCCTTGCATTATATGCATACGATCCACAGGCACAACAGCATAGAATAACGAAAAGTAGTTAGTCTCGTAGAAACCCAATCGATAGAACAAGTTAATGTTAAATGTTTCTGATTTGAAACCCAAACCCGATTCGACTTACAGTAACAATTGGACAACCACATGGACAACGTCGTGAAATAACAATTGATTGATTCTTATTCTTCCGAAAGATAGATTATGTAAATTGAAACTCCAAGTTCACAATCATCATCAATGTAAGGTCAGGGATACAAGGAAATCTCAAAAACGCGATTTGGTTGCATAACAACATGGCTGGTTGCTAAGTAGTTCTTAACGGACTTGATCTTATGAGATTGAAATATCACGTGTTTCTATTTAATTTCAATTAAACAAAAAAGCTATTTCGAAAAGTTGAGCATATGCATGATAATTATGTACATCAGCTTGACTGTATATGCTAAATATGTCAAAAAAACTATTAAATATGCATTGATTTCCCTTTTATAAGTTAATTACTTTTATTTTTGAACCGATATTCTGTGTTGTTACATAAAATTAATGCAGTTTTCTATTTGATACAAATCAAAGGCATTTTCAGTTTGTGCTACAATTATTTAAATTGCCTCTATGAAGCCATTATCGCACGCCCTGAGCCTTTGTGTCGCTATGCTAAATTGTTGTTGTTTCCAGTTTTTGTTAGGGTTATTATTGTTATTCTTGTTGTCAAAAATACTTTTCTGACACTAATGCACCAATTGACTTCAAAGAAATTAGCCAGAGAGCTATAAGTTTATCCCCCCCCCCCCCCCCCCCCCCCCGCACAATTTTTCTCAGTCCCACGGGGTACAATATTTCACCTCAAATGCGAACCAACCTTAATATTACTTAAATTACTTTGATACTTGGCTCTAATTTTAGTCATTTGACCTCTGTGTCCATATATTTGAGCAATGTCGTCTTTTTGAATATTAGAATATATCGCGCAATGTCACAAAGTTCAGAATAGTCCATTCAACTAGAGTACAACAAAAATACTGAAACGTTTAAATTAAGTGCAATCGGAACCGTTTCTGATTACAATATCATATTATGTTAATATGTGTGTTAACCGGTTGATACGTGGTTCCCCGTGATGAAATCATCCCAGACCGAAAAATACAAATAAACGAGTTGTAATTTAATAGATGGGGAACTTGAGATTATACAGTTATTTACTTTTCGACTAATCACTATGATTTCAGTTTGGTTGAGTACCAGGAACTATTTAGCAAATTTAAATTTTCAGGTAGCAATATGAATCTAACAAATCGATTCAAATCATGACATAGTAGTATACTCTAATTAACTTCCATTGGATGCCTGTATACTGATTATTGATTAGCGATTTAAAAAAAAATTGTTTTATTGTGTTGTTAGGATTAATTTGGCCAACCCGCTATGCATATTCAAATTGATAGATATTGAGATAGATAGATATTGAAATATATTGTTTCGCAAAGCAGAGTCATTACATAAACTATTAATTACAGTTTTTGAGATTTGAGAAATACAATAAATTCAAGAAATTACGCGATATAAAATATCTGAAAAGTTACATTACCGACCACCACAACGCAACGATCGCGAACGCGGAACAGCCACAAGGTGCGAAATGTGTGATTTTGATTACGTTTTCACATACAAAAAAACAAATACCATGGAAAAAAATAATAGTTTTCTAGCGACAACAACAATTTCAAAATGAAAAAAATTCTCAGAATCAGCATCCAAATCAGCGAAATAAGACTATACTGTTCAAATCACCTAAATTTGTCAACGCTCAAAGGTTCAATAGCATCAATTATCGGAATAAAAAATGATTGCTATATTAGGGAGATATATGCACTTGATACTGGTTCATTATTAATTTACGAATTTATGGCATGTGTTAATCTGTAATGTACAGTACTAAGAGCTTCTACCAAATAAACACCTGAGCAATAACTGAAATATTAATTTGTTGAACAAAAATATAGCGCAACGCGTTCGCATATAATGTTTAGAATTTAAATTGTCGATTGCGTCAAAAAAGTTTGTAATTTTTATCGTAGTACATTAGTCTGGAAAACAGAATCGGAACCGCTCCATCAATAAATATGTCAAAGAAGTCGGCCAAGCTCAACGATACACAAGAACCCTTATTCCAGAAAAAAGTTATAAGTTTGTTAATAACTTGAAAGCGATGTAATGGCGTTAAACTGATATGAGAACATCTCCCATAGACGTAATGCAACGTAGCCAGGTTAGAAGTGTTCATTGTTTCACTTGTAGCAATTCGCATTACATGATTGCAATACTATTGTACGTTGTGTTTCTAACCGTGCAATTTGTAAAATAATTACTATTGTAATTCAAATCAGGGGTGTTCAAAGTGCGGCCCGCGGGGCAAATGCGGCCCGTGAGTGAAAATTGTGCGCCCGCGGAGGCAACTGGAGAGCAGTTTAAAATATATTAATATTAAAAGATTTAAAAGCTAAATGAGTTTTGGTTTCAGCCTATTAGTTGATTTTGTCTAAATCTAACCTAGAATGAGATTTGACAGCAAATTATTTGGAAATGAATCTTGGCGTATTTTACTGAAGTCATCTCAACCAAGATACCTTTCCACATTTGAAAAAAGTCACGGCTCCAAATATGGCACTTTTCGGTAACATATTTTTTTCTAAAATGGGCGTCATATCGAATTGCTAGCACTCCCATTTAATTAAGCAAATTTGAATAAAAGTAGTCGGGAAAAGAATCCACCAGCAAATTTCTCACTGAATTTGTTTAAATTGAGTGTGACAATATATTTGAATTACAGACCCCCAATGATGACATGAGATCAATAACAAAAAGACACCATGTTGTGCTTACAAATAATAGAAAGTCAGCGTTAAATGTGGGTGCGTCCCGCGGTTTCACCCGGGTATTGATATTTGGCCCGCCTGCAAAAAAAGGTTGCACACCCTGATTTAAATGATTGCATATGGTGCACATTGCTTCATGTCTTTTTTAATAATCAAATGTAATATTTTAAGTCACAGACGAATTTCATGGTTGACGTGACTGTTTTCCTAATAACAAAATTGGGAACAAAAATCGTTCAATGGATTTAAATTATTCATGAGTCGTATTTTCAAAATTGATCGACGTGATTTTGAAATTCATCGAAGGGAAATATCTCCACCGCCACGAAATCACAACCCAGTTTGCAAACTTGAAACAATTCCACTTTACTAAACTTTACTTTTGGCAGATGCTCGATTTCAGACTATTCTCATACAGTATGCATTGAGAACGGCGTGAACTTTGAAAATCGCCTGGATATTAATATTATCAAAAGGTTTGATAGGTTTCTTCCTGCGGAAGTATTTGTATTTGGCCTTTAGGTAGCTTCGCTGTATTTTACTTAAATGCGGGATTTTAAATGATGGCAATGCCATTTTGTCTTTTTTCTAATTCTGGGTTGAATGTAATATAATCAAGCAATGCAAACTATTAATGAAACTGAATAGGCTAGAATGAAGAACTCAGCTAACCAATTTTGTCTGACCAAACGATTATTTGGACCAAACTGTCTCATCAAACAAAGAATCGAAACATTTGCTTATAACTATTTATCTGTATGTCGGTAATTTTTCCTAGCTAATTGTAGGTGATCAAACGAGAAAGAACGTATATCACCGTGAAGATAGTCACATATAGTGTTTAAAGTATAACAAACTACTTACTTTTTAGGACTGACGTCAAAAAGTCCATCACGTTTCGCTTTTATATCTCTGATTTTGTCTTTTTTAAATTGTCGTATTTTGGCATATGCGTTGCTTGCATTGGAAGCGGCTACATCCAGAAATTGAGCGATTTCCTTTTTGGTACTCTTGTCCTCCTGTTCTGCAGATTTTCTTCCGCCTTTATATCTAGTACTCCGAAATCGATTAAATCTTTTCCTTGGACTGCATTCTACTCCCACTAAATTAAGATCACTTTGCACAGATTGTGACAGCATACTTTCCAGTGGTCGACTACTGGACTCATTTTCATCGCTCATTCTACTTTCAATGTTTAATCTTTTGTCAGATAGCTGTCTTCGATAAATTTTACTCGACGATGATAAAATGTGTTTTGAAAGATCTGCATCAGCAGCAGTATCACTAACGAGGTCCTCGTCACCCGACATGTTATGCATTTCCGGACCATCGCTCGCAAATGAGGTATCGTCAAACCACGTTTCTGATGTCATCAATCTCGTACATTCAGCTTCTAGCTCGCTTGAAGACGGACGAGTTTCACCAAAGCGGAGGGGTTGTGCGTCTTTCATTGAATCTGTCGAGTATAGCTGACTGGGCTGATCTGTGTCTGCTATCTCAACTACAATATTTTCATTTACACCATCTATGTTCTCAATATGTGGAGTTGTAATGTCAGTTGGGGCCACGGCCTTCTCAGTCATAACAGAGTTTACAATAGATTGTATATCGAACGGTTCACCTAAGTCCAGTTCAGCCATTATTGCTGCTGATGTCCGCGATTTACTCTTTCTTCGGGGCTTAGATGGAGGAATTCTCTTGCCAAATTGTGCTGGTAGATCTGGGAGTTCGTCAGTATTCCGCAGCTTTTTTTGAGATAGCTTCAATTCCTGTATTACAAGTCCCCCGTTGCGAACTGGCGAAATATGAATGTCGTTCCCTGCATCATTGCTGTCCGATATAAGTAAACTACTTCGTGTGCTATCCGGAACTTCGTCTATATGACGCTGTCGGTTATATGCATTAAGCACTGTTTCAAGCAAATTATTGCCACCAGAGGCTTCCATATCCGTTCTACAAACCCCGCAATATTACGCTATTCAAAACAGATAACATATCAAGAACATACGTTAAAATTTTCATCGGTGATCCTAAATGAGTCAGTTATGCGCAATCGACATGTGGCATTCACCCGAAACAAGCTTGATTGACTTTAGTCGTGATTTGACTTGCATGAACGTCACACGCGCATTCAATGCAAGCTCAAAATCCCGAGAAACAAATTTGTACGAAAAACAAGTAATACAGCATGCCTTAAACATGAATATAGCATGCAGTGCTCATGATATATATAGGCCTAGCCATTCCGGACTGGAATGCAACCGTTAATTTGGAATATAATACATAACCATTTCACAAAAGTAGATTTTGTATTCTCAAAAACTTAGGTCTAATCTATACCAAGATATGACGTAAACGGTTTCGAAACAATCGGTAAAAGTCCTTCGCCTCCTCGCCGAAAAGACGTTGTTCGACTTTAAACCTTCTATTAACTATTGGTAGTTTGTTGGGGCCTAGAGGTCGTGTACACGGTATCATACTTATTCCCTAAACCCAGCAAAAATGGCGACATCTCCTAATTTGTCATAGATTATCATTTGAAGTTAATTTGGAATGAAGTCGAGTATACGCTGCAGTATATTTATCGCAGCTCGCTTTGCAGTCAGAAAAATTCCTTTGATGAGAAAGGTCGTTGAAATGTAAGGTACGCGACAATTTGGCTACAACTTCCTGAATGATGAATAATAAAAGCAGCAATACACGGCCTAGTTTCGAGTCGAATTGAGACATATGAACGCAAATCTGATGTTTAATTCAACAAATAAACCTAAACCAGTAGGTTACGGAATATATAGTTAAGTGAAGCAAACGTTAGTATGCAAGACATGAAACATATCATTAATCGTCATAGAAGCACTAAAAGTTTTATTGACGTGTACTGAAGGGAAAGGTACGTCTGTTACATCATAGTCACCAATTTGGTATCATTCAACGATTTGAATTCAGTTTATTCAAAACTGTGATTTCCCCAAATTTTCTGAACGGAATCGAACAATTTTGCTTCTTAGTCACAGCAGGAGTGGAGGCTGGACTAGATCAAGATACTCCGTTACCTACATAATTTTATTTGAAGAAGCAACCACCATAGACGTATACATTGGGTCTGAGAGAATCGAAATTATTTCGACAAAGAATACCTAATTTCGTACTTCCTAAGAATTTGACCACTGGAGTGAAAGCTCCTCAACCACCAATATCAACCTACAAGTTACCACTTACCAATGGACAATACTAGCTAATCCTGTCTATTGAACAGTGATATCTTTCACATCGACAACGTTATATCTCATCGGATATGTAAAACCTAAGGCAATGTGTCGCTTATTCATGTGGTCAATATGTTTCGCAATATAAACGTGACTTCCAAATATGGTACATATGAAGCGATTGCATGACGTCGCTAAGCCGGTTGATTACAATAAACTTTCAACTAGTCTATTCAAAGTAGAAAAAGCATAGACTGTTAATACGCGCGAGTCTTATGAGCAATTTTGTGCACAGGTTTGGTGAAATCTTCCACTAACTCGAACTTTGTATCCTATTACTTTCGTCTCACTACTATTACTTTCGTCTCACTACTACTTACTATTACTTACTTGTATCCTGCTTACTTTCGCATGCATGGGATTGTCATAAATCCTTCATAAATCTCACTGATTGTCTTAAAACTGACTTTGATATGAGATTCTGTACTTCTATTTTATAACCTCTATTTCTTTTTGAAAATTTTAGAGGGAGTTATTGCAATATTTTATTCTATACTTCGTATATCTGCTTCAAATAAACTCACCAACAACAACCATAAATTTCTTGGCATTGGTATGCTGTGGAGGAAATGAAAATTTCGATTTCACGATTGAAAATGACATATTCTTTTCGTATAAATAATGTGTTTCATGCCAAAACGGCCTAATTGTTTGTTCAGAAAATGATCTGCCTATAATAACTGACTTTCAACTAATTAATGAGTAGGAATTTAAATGTTCTGCAACCTGTCAGTTCAAATGTCGTTTTTTTGTAATCTTATTCCTTAAAATTTTAACATTTTGAAAAAATATTTCCTTGTTTTGATAGCTATAGCTAATATACAATAATATGCTCTCTCGATGAGTGTGTGGGCGTGCGACGCTAAGCAGTAAATTGAATTGTGAAATATGGGTTGAATAAGAGGACGACTGGTAAACACAAGACTATTGAAAGTTCCTGATCAATTGATTAAATTGATTAGCTAAATAAAAAAAAAAACATTCTGTAGCATAGAAAAAAAAGCTAAGACGTTGAAATGTGACTATTTTATAATCATATGGCCTATCAGCTGTTGCACTTTCTACCTCCACAAACTTCGTTTCCCCCGTACTATGCTGCTCTTTCTAATTGAGTTTATGATCGAGTATTTGTAGATCTGCAAGCATTCTATCAAACCGGAAACATGCATTACTGCTTTTCTGGCTATTTTAGTCGATCGAAGCAAGCCTATAGATTGTTGTAAAAGCACGTGCAAATGGTGCTCAGACGAATTTGGGAGCGAGGTAGCGAATATCAGATCAATAAACTATCATTTTAGTATAATATAAAAGCGAACAACCGTATGAGGCCATGCGCTCGTGGTTCACAGGGGAATTTTCTGCTTTAATTAATCGGGAAGGAGCCTAGACGGTGAAGAAAAATTACAATAAGCCGGGCAAAATTGCTTTTGTGTGAGTCAAAAAATCTATAGCCGAGTGCATGCAACATGCGGTCGATTTATTACGCGTGCAACTCTCACTACGTGAAACAGTAACAATATAATACACATAATATCTATAACAATATTTTTTTTTTATTTGACAAGTTTTTTCATATGATTCCCATCGAGCAGAATAATTCATGTAACAGCATTTATTTCACCTTGTTGTCTTAATCGCCTTTTACCTACATTCTACATAAAAAATAATATATAAGGCGAAAGTATGCTCGAATGTACTAAATGACAAATTCATGTAATAATACTAAAAAATGTATTAGAAAACAGCGATCGTCATGCTATGTTTACTATTCAAATACACTACTACTAAAGACTACTTTTCTGGGATCTGTGCTAAAAAAATACATGAACAGTACGAGAAATAACTATAGCTCAAACACTGACAAATCTGACAATCACAAAAACATCCATCCGCTTCAACGCGGTTGAACTCACGCTTAATAAATATAAAGCGAAATATGAATGGTTATATTAATGCTAAAACGGATATAATTCGATAATTTTACTTTTCGTTCATTTTTAAAGTTTTACTTTACCACGTATTCGTACCTCTTTCAATAAAAATATGTAAAGGATTGATAACCTCAAATCTTAATAATCAATACTTTCGACCCGTTCGTAAAATACGGCAAAAAGCATTTTCATTACTGATATTTTCAACTATAGTTTCAAATGCCATTTCCAACAAGATCCGGCAGCCATGAAACGAAGCTAGCTGATCTATCACGAAATCATGACTCAAGTTTCTGCAGGCGAGAGAAGGAGACAAATATTGTGGAAAGTAGAAACTTATTGAGTACCGTCGTATTAACAAAATTCATGCTGCAATCAAATACACACGTAAAACGACGAGTGAACTTCCGAAATGTAAATCAAGTCTGACAGAACCAATAATCCCCTTTCTGCATCAGGACGAAATCAGACATACGCGCTCATGGACCATTATTGGAGAGCACTTAAATACTCGACAAGGCATGATACTTGTATAAATTTACATTTTCTAAACCGCATGAATAATCACTTTTGTTGTTATCTCTCTCGATTCAATTCAAATTTACTACAATACAAGTTTACCACTACTCTGTACTGCTTTGGAATTTTATTTAATTTACATTATTAATACTTTTCCCTACTTTTCCATCTAATAACTATTTTGATTTTGAAGTTACATTAAATTTCTTATCTTTTTTTCGAACTTTGCGAAGGACATCGCTCGTAGTTCTCTCGAGCTACCTAATGTAGCTACCACCTCAGCAACATTTTCCCAAAGGAATGCAAAAAGGGAAATCAGTAAATCACAATCGTCCATTCCATTAATCTCTGACTAACTCTTTGAGCGTAATGCTATTTCTCATTTAAACGTTCATAATGTAATTCAATAACCATCTAAAACACGATAAGATATAAAAAGAAATCGATAAAATCCACTGATGATTAGATTTTTGAATACACGTTTTGATGGTAATGTTGGAAGTAATGAGAGGTCGCATGTGTAATTCAGTAATGCATAGGTAACGGGCGTATAGTGGTACATCCTAGTCTTCGCTTATCAAGAAATTGGCCCTCAAAGCACAACAATCTAGAACTTTTTTGAATTAACAACGTAAGATCGAGACAATTTCCTCAACGTGAAATGACGACCAACTGTTATAGTGAGGCTGCAGACGACATATTGGTAATGGAAAACCATATTTAAACAACCACGTCACTGATGGATATATATATTTATATCTATGACATTACAATAAAATATATAAAACTACTAGCATTTACCGTTTTGACAAATCATCAGTGGAAGTATTATCACCAGTATAGGAAGTTTGAATGAAAACTAATCAGTAACTTATAGTTGTTAGTTCGACCGGACTTTTCGGATCAGCTTGAGGAACATTGCTTAAACAATACGGCTATGCCGTTTTAGAATATGTGGTCAAACATCTCCAATGATTAATAACTATTTAACTATAATCACCATTTGCCAAAGTTCAGTTCACAGCAATATGTATGGCAGCAGTGTAGTAGCTCATGAAACATATTTTAAGAATGAAAACAAAACAACATATAGTGTATTTAACCTCTTGAGTGTGTTCATCTTCTTATTCGGCCCCACGCCACGAGGTGATAATCCACGTTTTATTTAGTAATATTCCCGTTAATATAAAATTTCGCGGTCACAGAATTAAATTTTATAAAGAGAGTATACTTGAAGAAATGTCAACAATACCA